CGCCAAGTAGAGGCCACCTCCCTTCCGTGACTGCCAGATGCATGTTGGAGCCTGGGCTGTCCCTGAGCCAACACCCAACCTTTCGAGGTGCATGTCCAAGGTATCACCCGCCGCCTTCCCACGGCCTTTCTTGGGCATGGCCTTGATCTGTGGCTTTCCAGGGGCTGCCATACGCTTGGGGGTTGTGGCAGTCGCCATTGGCTTAGGGGTAGTAGCCGTAGCCTTTGGAGGCGTCTTTGGGGCTGCAATCGCCGGCGCCTTAGGCGGTGTCCTCGGTGCAGCGCTGCCTCGGGCTCTCTTAACGGCTGAGCGCATAGCCTCTGCCACCTCATCATCGGTTGCTCCACTTGCCCCGGTCCTCTTTCTGCCGAACTGAGCCTTCGCTCCAACGGCTGCCGGCACCAAGGATGCCGAAGGCTTGGGGGCTGCCGGGACTGCGGTCTCAGCGAGCACTGCGCGCTTGATGCGGCACACACCAGCGCCGTGTTTGCCACCGCATGCCCGTCCCGATTTTTGTAAGACGGCACATAAGTGCACTCCGAAGGGACAGGAGTCTGCTTCGTTCGGGCACGAATCCGTCTGGTAGTCTGGGCAGATGGCCTTGCCGTTCTTCAGGGTGGCTGTCAACACTTTCCCCTGAAGGTGGTCCGGCATTTGGGGGGCCGGTGCCGCTTCTGCCTCCTGGCGGGCTTGTTGCGCGGCTTCGACAAATTGCTGTGACAGTTTGAGCCTCTTCTTCACATCCTGAAAGTTGTGGGAGGAGGCCCACATTGGTTGCCTGTCCTGCCTCAGCAACCGGTCTGCCTCTGCTAAGCCGTGGACCCGGGCTGCGTCTAGCTCTGACTGCGGGATCGCCTCCCACAGCAGGTTGCTAGTCAGCTTCGCTGTCGCACCCCAGATCAGTGATTTCACCTTGATCGACGCGGCGTATTTGGCCGACGAATAGTGGAAGGCCATTGCACCCACTTCTGGCACCTCGCCCTTGGCTTGCCAGTCACCCAGGGCGGCCATTTCTTCAGGCTTGCATTCCAACAATTGGGCCACCGTGGGTGCCATCCTTCTCCAACTGTAGGTGGTCAGGTCTTCAGGATTGTCGAGGAACACGGACATTTCCTGTTGCATCGTTTCTTGAACTTCAAGGATCGTCCAAGGGCGTCCTTCGTCCGAAAAACAAAGACCTGCCAGCCTCTGCCTTGCCGGTGCCAGTGTCCTGTAGGCCTCCAACACCTCCTTGGCCCAAAAGAACCCATTGGCAAAGGTTGCCGGCACTGCAAAGTCGAATCCCTCACGAGCATGCCTTTGTTTGCCTTTGGGACACCTGCAATGGAGGAATGCAGCGGTGAGGCGTCGAGGTTCCGTTCGAGATATATGCGCATACCTCAAACAGCCAAACGCCATGATCCAAGGGGCCAGGAGGACTGACCACCTTTCATCGCCTACCGCATGCAGTTCCATGATGCGGTCCTCCAAGGCCTGCACCAAGGGTGGCTCGACCACCGGAGCTTGCCCACGCTGCCCAGTCGCCCTGGGTGTTGTGGGAACTTGCAAGTTGCCCAGCTCAAGATCCTGGTCGGCATTCTTATTCATCCACTTCAAAGCTTGGAGTGCCCGTGCTGGTGCCGCTGTGTGGTTCAGGAACTGGTCAAGGTCGACCATTCCGGGAGGAGCGGGTCGCCCCCGGCTCTCCAAGAAGGTCCTCAGCTCCAACCAAGTGTTGACCACTCTGTCAATGGTGGCCTTTTCAGCGTCCTTCACCTTCTTTTCGGCGATCCTCCTGCACGTCTGCTTCCATTCAGCTTTGAGGGTGTCGGTCAAAATGCCGGCTGGCTTGTACGCGCCCATGCCAACAAACATTGAAACCACGCCGTTCACCCTCTTCTGGACGGCTTCACTCAGGTTTTTGTCGACGTTGATGGCTCTGGGCTTCTTCTTGTAGATCGTCTTGCGCGCTGGGCGCAGAGTGACGTAACCCTTGGGGTGGTCCTCCACGACTTTGGCTCCAGCGGCAAGGAGGGTTTCTTCGACCCTTGCTCGCGTCTGCAACCAGTCATCGGCGACATGATGGCCAGCGAGTCCAACGACTTGATCGTAGTCTGTGTAGGCATAGGCAAAGTCATTGTCATCCAGAAGGCCTTCATTCTCCCTCCATTGGCGAGCCCTCTGAGCAGCAATCATCATTAAAGAGTCGGCCGCCCTCCATCCTGGTGCAGGGTCACCCCCTGACGAAGATGAGGCTGCCGCCTGAGCTGCATAGTAGCCTTTTCCGCCTGATGCCATGGCACTGCACCCTAACAGAATTGCTAAGGTGCGGAGAGCAAAAAGATGCTGCGGTGACTCCAGAGGTGCCTCCTCTGTCATAGCATCAACCTTCAGCGAACATCTTCTTACGGCCTCCACAAACTGTGCATGGCTGCCTCCATGTATAGCAGTCACTACACATGCCAACGCAGCAGGCCCAACACACGCGCCTGGTGGGGTCGCCGCACTCCGTGCATGCAGTCCCCAGATGCTGGACTCTGGCTTCTTGGCTTTCCAGCCATCCACAAAGAGCTCGATGAGCCCTGGCGCCCTCTCTCCCCCATGCCGGCCAGGGTCGCCCCCTGGGGGCCCTGGGGAAGTGACGCGGCTCGAGAAAGATCGGCAGGAGCTCGTGCGGGCCCACACATCGAAGCCAGACCCTCCATTGCTCGAAAAGCTCGCCCAGACCCAGCTGCCCAGCGTCGCCCGCTGAACATCTGAGCTGGAGTCCGTAGAGCTCTTGGGGCACCACGTCCTCGGCCACTTTGAAGTTCGTGTATGCCGAAACCAGCAGGAGATCCATGGGTTCCTGGTGCTGGTAGTAGTACTCCCAAGCATCCGCAGGCGCCACATCATCAGGCAGCACAACTCCCCGGCTATTCCACAAGCCAAGCCACGGGAACTTGAACCCACCCACATGAGCTGCGCAACGTGGACATCCATCAAGGCAGCAGGGCATTTTCGGCAAGGGGGGGAACAACTCACAATCTGTCCCAGTAGTGAGAACGTAGGGGGAGTGCAACACCTCGATACCATGCATCCAGCATGTGTATGCTGCTGGGCCCGAATCCTCCCTTGCCAGCCTCTCCACGTGGTTCTTGAATTCCAAAAACGCAGCCGCATGCAGGATCTTCGCCTCAGTGGCTGCTGGGATATCAATGCCTGGGAGTTTGCGCTGCATACAAGGTCACCCCTTGTGTTGAGTTTGAACCAACCAATCAAGGTCAAGTAAGGTCGCCCCTTACAATGACCGAGAAAGAAAACAGCAATGAATGCTATTTTGGTTCAAGTTTACTTGAGCCAAAATGATAGCATTCATTGAACACTTGAAGATGATACATGCACACCCAAGCCTGCCAAACTCGATGCATGGGTATATATATATACATACAAAGGTTTAGCGATCTAAATAAATAATTAGCATCCTTTGCCAACAGCTGGTCAGTTATTTTTGCGTAGCGATGGATTCCGACCTTGGGGGTCGCTTGGAACGTGCCAGGGCTTGTCCCGGCCACTGCCCGACCATCCACAAGCACAATTGTCCGCAACCTTGCTTGAGATGTTACAAGTGGGAAGCTCGGAATTATTCATGCTTCATTCATGACATTTTGCGCATCAAAATCAAGTTTTTGTGGCAGGCACAATACCTTGCATGGTCCTTGCACAAATTAAGTTGCTTGTGTGAGGCAAGCACAGTACTCCGGAGATTTGCAGTTGCATATGAGGTGGTGCAGAATCTGCTGCTACCTGATTCTCAAACGAACGACTTCCAAGTGGGTGCCGCACAAGAGTGTCTGACAGGTCGTGTCCAACGAGAGTGTCGTAATTGCAGGAGTGTCTGACAGGAGTGTCTGAGAATCGTGTCCCACAATAATCTCTTCCAAAAGTGTCTTACGCAAGTGTCCTACAGAAGAGTCTCTCACAAGAGTGTCCTACAAAGGTTTCCAGCATGCGCACCTTCTTGCAAGAGTGTTTGTCTTACAGGAGTGTCTCACGAAAGTGTTTCGCAAGACTGTCTTTCACGAGAGTCAGACAGGAGTGTCCCCACAAGACCCCACAAGCGTGGCACCCCAGGATCATTTACCAGACTCTTACAGCAGTGTCTTACAAAAGTCTCTCACAGGAGTGTTACTACTTCCAAGGGCGTCGTATAAGAGTGTCCTTTTAGGGGGTTCAGGGAAAATCTACAGAAACGCATGGGTCTTTACAACCCAAATATAATATATGATATATGCTTTTCCTGCAGCTTTTCCCTTCAAATCCTTCAACCAATTCTTGGATACCACAGCAGTGTCCGATTACAATGTTTGATGAGACTGCGGGTTGAGTGTCTGTCAACATTAGCATAGCGTTTTCGTAACAGCTTGCTGCAGCATTGACTGAATACGTTTCATTGGTATATATGTTTTTAAGAAACCTGTACAACCAGCTTGTGATGTGCATTGGGCTTTGTGGGTTCCCTCTGGTTTCTTTTAGCGTAATCAACATGTGAAGAAAAAGGCATAGGGAGATAATGAGACATATGGTCAGCAAGACACATGGAGAGACAGACAGAGGACGAGAGACGTAAAGATATCATTTGAGAAGAGAAAGATGAAGAAAGTTAGAGACAAGTTCGAACATCTTCAAATACGGACAACTTGATCGAGATGCTGTGATGATAAGTAATGATGATTGATGCGTCTGTAGATGGTACAAAAAACTTGAGGTAGATTCAGATAGATATGAGATTAAGAGATCAGTAGACAGGACAGAGAACTTGAAAACAAGAAACTGCACTCTTTTGACAAGCACAAGATGGGAAAAGTTCACGGTGGTAGAAAAAGGTGGGTAACATGTGCTGACATGTGCTGAGGTCAAGAAGGAAAATTCAATAGAGGCAACTTGACATTGCTCGACACATTACTCGAAAAATAAATTGACAGAGGCAGAGGGGAAAGGCTACAAGGATCCAAATTCGGTACTCACCCTGTGGCCCTGTCCTGTTCCACTAACAACTTGGATCTCTTGAGCTTCTTCTGGGCTGAGGCGTACGAGTCCTTTACCCTGGCTTCAAACTCTTCAAACGTCATCAGGTTGGTCCCGGCATCCGCCTCGTAAAGTCAGGCCCAGTTGACAGCAAACAGCGAAAATTCGGGACCGTTGAAGGGACCAAATACTTGGCTAGCCATGATTTCAAGATTGACCTACCCGCTGGAAATCAAAATTTGTAGTTGGTATGTCCTGTTCATCATGGTCTTCCGCAGTTTTCCAATGCCAGGTTTCAACAGTTTCCCAGAGACGCTCTCCAGTTTGCCCCGGCCTCCATCTTCATTATTCCTTTGTGCTTCTGCAGCAACTCATGTCCTTTGGCCGCACAGGATGGATCAGATTCAGAGCAATGCTCTGCAACGGTTGAACATAGGAAAGTGAACGCAGCAAGGCGCAGGATGGTGGCCATACTGCAAATGCTTAGAATGCTACAGCTTTCTCTCCGCAAATTGAGGAGAACCAGCTTGAGCCAAGGAAGCCACGAAATGTTCAGCAGATGATATCTGTGATTTGTTGCGGGGGATCACCTCAGAGACGTGTGGCCGGGTATGGGTCAATGGGTCACCCCAAAATATAGATTGTTTAGTACAAAAATGTACAAAAAATGACCCATTTACAGGCCAAAACAGGTACAGTATCCCAATGGATACCAATGATTTGAATACTGTACCCACATCAAAAAAGAGGTCAGTCTTCGAAACGTAAACCTACTTACCCTGCACTTGGCATTGCAGAGTGGTTCCTCCAAACATCACTTTTTGGGAGAGTTAGTCACTATTTGAACACTGAAAGGTGATGTTTAACTCTGATCAAAGGGTGACATTTAAGGACTGGATGAAGGATTGCATCTTGCGTCGCCTCAGTACCAGACCCTGTGCGCCAATCAGAGCAGCGATGAGGGCTCAAGCACTTCCTGTTCCAAGTTGTCGGACTCTTGGCATGACCATCCTGAGTGTTGTTATTCACTTGCCAAGCTGAAGGCACGGAAGTCCAATGACCTGACATATGCCGACTCAGGTTTCTGAACGGCAACTGAGGGCAGCACCGAACGGAGTTCCTGGGCATCGCTTGGTGAAAGTGATTATCCCTCACCCAGCTGGCACTACAAACACACATACACCGTAAACTCTAGATGGCCAATCTGCAGATGGACGAGAAAAACATTAAAAGAAACAACCTTTCAAACGTTGGATAATTCTCGGGATAGAAACTGTGGGAGTTGAAACCAGCGTCCAAATTCATTCACAGACACAAAGCCCAAGAAAGGGCAAGAAAGCTCTGCGTCTTTTCGCGCTTTCTCTTTTCAAACGACTCGTAAGCCGCTGGAGTGGCTGGTCAAACTCCGCCCTGCAACATTTTGCACCAGAGGTCTGGAGGTCTGGACACCCGCTCCAGCGAAAGGGAAAAACCTGAGGCGGCACCTTTGGTGTCCCCAGGATCCAGACGAAAGCCGACGGCACGACGATGCACGACGGCACGGCGGCACGGCTACGAAGACTGCTGCGATTTACTACTCAAAAATGGAGCTTCCGAGGAATTCACAGGCGATGCTGGTGGGCATCAAGGTGTACTCTGAGGTCTGCCAGGGGGTGGCCCAACTCAAATAGTTGGCCAACTCCTGTTTGCGAAATTGCACGGTTGCATCCTCACTCTCTGCATTCTCGACATCTGCACCCACCACTGCCCGCAAGGCAGGAATTTCATAATGCAGGGTGGAGTCAAAGATGACATCTGCACTTGCTGCAAATGGAAAAATGTTCATCTGCTCTCCAGCGGCCACCGATGAGAACTTGTGCATCACACGTGCTGCATCCACACCCCGAGTGCGTACATCCCGGCCGATGCGCCGCAGCAGGCGGAATTTCCTCTCGGGCATGACACACAGGTTGCCAAGACGGGCACCGGACCAGGGGCCGATCAACACCTTGAAGAGACTCACATTTCCAAAAGCTGAGAGGAACTTTGGATGCAACCCGAAGATGCCCTCAATGATCAGCACAGCTTGTTTTGGCAGCTGCAGAATGTTGCCCGTCTTTTCCTGGATGGTTCCCGTCTTGAAGCAGAATTTCGGAAGCTCAACTGCTTTGCCATCCAGAAGTGCTTCCAAATCTTCCTTGATCTTTTCAATCCTCAGGGACCCTGGATCCTCGAAGTTCAGCTCTCCCTTGGCATCCCGTGGATGTGTTGGATCTGCCCGAGCCTTGAAATACATATCGCATTCCAAGGGTCGCGCCTCCAAACCCCTGGCCTGAAGATGCAGCGCCAAGCGCGCTGCAAAGGTAGTCTTGCCACTACTCGAAGGTCCTGCCGACAGCAGTCGACAGCCCGAAAATTTGGGTCGAGTCATTGGGGTATGGACCCATCTTGAGGGGGGTGATCACAGAGATGTAGCCTACCACATATGAAGGCATCCAGGTCTGAAATCCGAAAATTGTTATACATGAAATCCCAAATCCTCATATGTTTTGGTTTGAGAAACTATTCAGGTCCCAATTTTTGTGGATTACAGCATTTGTTGTTGGTGGAATCCTTGTTTTCTGTGACCAATCACCATCCTTGTGGGACGGATACATATACATATATATATATATACATAAACATATTAATACACCACATAGAAGGAGATCTAACGTTTCTTTGATAAATATCAACTTTTAGGGTGACAACTCTATCTCACATGGAAAAATGAGGCTCCTGCCACAACCACAGCACAGGACTTCTCTGCTGCTGCCGCCGCGATCCGGCTGCTGAGCTCCGCGAAGGTGTTGTTCTGCAAGGTTTCGGCCTGGCCGGGAGCGAAGTCTAGCATGAAAAATGGGGAGTTAACCATGGCCAACTGTCCCACCAACGACCATTACACTGTTGGGGTATTGAATGGACCCACCTTAAATTGCTCGTTCTCAGAAGTGAACCCTCCAAATGTTGAGGATTACAAAAATTTGAGCCCAGCTCAACACTTGCTGGCAACAGCACTTTGGTTCTATCCCTCTCTTTGTCATCGCTTCCACACATCCCAACCCCGCCTGCAAGGCCATGTTGGTTTGTTTCCCCTCTGCTGCGGCAGCATTACACTCCTGTATCCCCAGCTGCATCGGCAGCTGGGCTCCCAGCTTCCCAAAGCGCCCCGGCACCACGGCATCCAATGCCACGCTGGGGCCCAGTAGCTGGAACTCTCCCGGCCTTTCAGCGGCCCGGATCTGCCAGGGCACCCCTTTCAAGCTGCTGGGCAGCGCCACCGGCTGCACCGCCACGGTGCGAAAGGTGTCCTGGTTGAAGTGCACTAGGTGCAGCCCCAAACTGCTGCAGTCGATGGATTTGGCAAAGTCCTGGCACTTGGGAAAGTTGGACGAAAGGAGCTGCACTGCCTCTGGCTTTGGGAGGACCTGCAGCTCGATACTGGAGTCCAAAATCAATGCTTTCACCTGGCCGGGGGTGATCATCTCCAATTTTTCAGGGAAAATCTGAAAATCTCACAGTATATCCAGTACCTATAACGAAACTCAATTCGTAGCTCCTTGGCTACCCCTTTGGTAAATTGGGAATATGGATCCAACGATAGCTCCCAACAGCTCCCTACATTCACCACCCCAAAGTCCACTGGTTTATCACATAGAATTGCCATGTGCGGATCTCCCGGAGATCCCCCATCTATGTATGTATGTATGTATGTATGTATGTATGTATGTGTTTATTTATTTATTATTTTATGTAATTTTTTATTTATGGATTCATATATATATATATATATATCCATATCCATATATATATATATCCATATCCATATATATATATATCCCCAAATATTCCCCATTTTCAGATCCAAATGCTGTGTCCTCCGGCCTTCTCAGCGAGCTGCGTAGCGAAGGCCTCACAGTCGCTCTTCGACCACGTCTTAGCGCAGCTCACGGAGAAGCCCAGAAAGGCCTCAGCTCCGGAGCACGCGAAAAAATAAACATGCGATGTTCACAACCTGTTGGAAAAGTTATAGCAAAAATGAAGATTGTAGTGATTAAGGCGGTTGAGGTCGAACCATGTCAAAGCAATATAGTGTTTAAATGTGTTTAATGATGTTTAATGCATAAATTGGCGTCGTTTGAAGGGTTCGTTTCTATCTCACGGGGGTTGAACTAACTTATCAGGGTTTAAAACAGAAGGGAAATATGGAATCATTTTTTTGGCCACGAAAAAGGTGTACTTCCAGGCAATCTAAGCACCAAAAATGCGGGACGATCGGATGGTCGGCCACCAAAAATGTGACCATGAACGGTGGGTTCATCTGTGAAAACTTTACTGGTTAAGCGGCCAAAAAGTTGGAATTCACAGTGTTTCACAAGCCCAAGGTGGAAGACATGAGAGAGCTGTGGGTAGCACCCTTTTGTTTCAGCCATCTCAAACCAGCAGCACGCACTGCGCCAGCGTCCCCCAGCTCAACCACTTCACAGGGCCAGTCTTTACTTCTACGCCCTCTGCCCATAGCTTAAGCCTTAACCACTGGTCCCCACAAGTCCATAGAAGCTGGCAAACAAACGTCCAAATGAATCCAACCCCTATCCAAAAAGAATTAACTTGAGAGTTAATTCACCAGGGTCCGAAGCAGCAAGAATTAACTCTGGAGGTAAATCCTTGGAAGAGAGTAGTGGATCACCACAATCTAAAGAATTAAACTCCAGAGTTAATACCTTCAAACTCTTGTTTTTACTCTATTTCCAAGCGAAAATACGTCAATAACCAAAAAGTGGGACTGTTCTGGATCCTCGAATCCTCAAACATCTCTCAGCATTTCGTCTCTGTGGAAGATCACATCATTTGCTTGGAAATCTCCCAATCATGTGGTAGACGCAATTCAAAATCTCCAATATGACAGATGGTTGACCATCCCAACTGCAAATCACCAATCCAATTAAGAATGAAAAGTGAGCAAAATGGGAAATGTCAACATCCAAACCAGTCTTCTCCCAACCATCGGTAGTGGCATCCCACGTTCCCCCGCGGGCCTCAGGAGTCGAAGGCATCTCCTCCACACGAACTTCTCCGGAGGAGCCCTTGAGGCTAAAAGAGGCCGTGGCCACAAGCAGCACCAAGGTTTGCAGGGCCAGCCTGGGGCTCTGGGATGCTCTGGGTCAAGTTCGGCTATCATGATTCAGCTTGAAATGTTGGGGTTACATATTATATACATATTATATACATATTAGATACATATTATATACCTATTATATACCTATTATATGAATATTATATACATATTATATACATATTATATACATATTATATACATATTATATACATATTATATACATATTATATACCTATTATATACATATTATATACATATTATATACATATTATATACATATTATATACATATTATATACATATTATATACATATCATATACATATTATATACATATTATATACATATTATATACATATCATATACATATTATATACATATTATATACATATTATATACATATTATATACATATTATATACATATTATAAACATATTATAAACATATTATATACATATTATATACATATTATATACATATTATATACATATTATATACATATTATAAACATATTATATACATATTATATACATATTATATACATATTATAAACATATTATATACATATTATAAACATATTATATACATATTATAAACATATTATATACATATTATATACATATTATATACCTATTATATACATATTATATACCTATTATATACCTATTATATACATGTTATATACCTATTATATACATATTATAAACATATTATATACCTATTATATACATATTATATACATATTATATACATATTATATACATATTATATACCTATTATATACATATTATATACATTATATACGTATTATATACGTATTATATACGTATTATATACGTATTATATACGTATTATATACGTATTATAAACATATTATATACGTATTATATACATATTATATACATATTATATACATATTATATACATATTATATACATATTATAAACATATTATAAACATATTATATACATATTATATACATATTATAAACATATTATAAACATATTATATACATATTATATACATATTATATACATATTATATACATATTATATACATATTATATACATATTATATACATATTATATACATATTATAACCATATTATATACATATTATATACATATTATATACATATTATATACATATTATAAACATATTATAAACATATTATATACATATTATATACATATTATATACATATTATAAACATATTATAAACATATTATATACATATTATATACATATTATATACATATTATATACATATTATATACATATTATATACATATTATAAACATATTATATACATATTATAAACATATTATATACATATTATATACATATTATATACATATTATATACATATTATATACATATTATAAACATATTATAAACATATTATATACATATTATAAACATATTATATACATATTATATACATATTATATACATATTATATACATATTATATACATATCATATACATATCATATACATATCATATACATATTACATACATATTATATACATATTATATACATATTATATACATATTATATACATATTATATACATATTATATACATATTATATACATATTATAAACATATTATATACATATTATATACACATTATATACATATTATATACATAGTATATACATATTATATACGTATGTATTATATACGTATTATATACGTATTATATACGTATTATATACATATTATATACATATTATAAACATATTATATACATATTATAAACATATTATAAACATATTATATACATATTGTATACACATTATAAACACATTATAAACATATTATATACATACTATATACATATTATATACATATTATATACATATCATATACATATCATATACATATTATATACATATCATATACATATCATATACATATCATATACATATCATATACATATCATATACATATTATATACATATTATATACATATTATATACATATTATATACATATTATATACATATTATATACATATTATAAACATATTATATACATATTATATACATATTATATACATATTATATACATATTATATACATATTATATACATATTTATACATATTATATACTGATTATATACATATATTACATATTATATACATATTATATACATATTATATACATGATATATACAATTATAAACTTTATTACAATTTATTACTTTATATACATATGATATACATATTATATACCATATTATATACATATATATACATTTATATACATATTATATACTATTCTATACATCTATATACATATTATATACATATTATATACATTATTATTAACATAATTTATATACATGTTATATACATATTATACACATATTATATACATATTATACACATATTATATACATATTATACACATATTATATACATATTATACACATATTATATACATATTATACACATATTATATACATACTATATACATGTTATATACATGTTATATACATATTATATACATGTTATATACATATTATATACATGTTATATACATGTTATATACATATATTATATACATATATTATATACATATATTATACACATGTTATATACATATTATATACATATTATATACATACTATGTACATATTATATACATGTTATATACATATTAGATACATGTTATATACATATTATATACATGTTATATACATGTTATATACATATTAGATACATGTTATATACATGTTATATACATGTTATATACATGTTATATACATGTTATATACATACTATATACATATTATATACATGTTATATACATGTTATATACATGTTATATACATGTTATACACATGTTATATACATATTATATACATGTTATATACATATTAGATACATGTTATATACATATTATATACATCTTATATACATATTATGTACATATTATATACATGTTATATACATGTTATATACATATTATATACATATATTATATACATATATTATATACATGTTATATACATGTTATATACATGTTATATACATGTTATATACATGTTAGATACATGTTATATACATGTTATATACATGTTATATACATGTTATATACATATTATATACATATTATATACATATTATATACATATTATATACATATTATGTACATATTATATACATATTAGATACATGTTATATACATGTTATATACATGTTATGTACATATTATATACATATTATATACATGTTATATACATGTTAGATACATGTTATATACATGTTATATACATGTTATATACATGTTATATACATATTATATACATGTTATATACATATTATGTACATATTATGTACATATTATATACATGTTATATACATGTTATATACATGTTATATACATGTTATATACATGTTATATACATATTATATACATGTTAGATACATGTTATATA